TTATCTACTGCCACGTGTCTCAAAGAGTTGAGTATATTGTTGTGCGATGGTTTGATGTCCTTTCCGAACCTTCATGGGCTGTCCTCTCTTCAAAATATTAAAATAGTCCATTGTGGGCAATTGAAAAGCATAGGAGAGGATTTATCTACTGCCACGTGTCTCAAAGAGTTGACTATAAAATACTGCAATGGTTTGCTGTCCTTACCGAACCTCCATGGGTTGTCCTCTCTTCAAAAAATTGAAATAAGGGGGTGTCGGCAATTGAAAAGCATAGGAGAGGATTTATCTACTGCCACGTGTCTCAAAGAGTTGACTGTAGAGGGATGCGATGGTTTGATGTCCTTACCGAACCTCCATGGGCTGTCCTCTCTTCAAAAAATTGAAATACGCAACTGTGGGCAATTGAAAAGCATAGAAGAGAACTTATCTACTGCCACGTGTCTCAAAGAGTTGACTATATGATGGTGTGATGGTTTGATGTCCTTTCTGAACCTCCATGCACTTTCATCTCTCTAGACTTTATCGATAAAGGGTTGTGGTGGATTAAGAAGTTTGCCAAGTGGGTTACCATCATGCACTGCTCATGAGGAATTGGATATCTCCTACTGTCATAATCTAATCTCTATTCCAGATGATTTGAGGAGGAGCTGGAGCATCGCTAACCCTGACTGCCTTCCTCACCTGAAGAAGCTGACTATTGGTGGTTTCTCAACAGAGCTTAAGGAATTTCTAGATCTGGGCTTCATCAGATCTCATCTTGAAGAATTAAATTTTGATTGCATGGGGAGAACCAAGAGAACGTCTGCTGGATCAAATTCAACACCAAACAGCCCTTAACGTACTATTTGGATAGAAAATAGTAAAGGGAAGGTAAGGGAAAGGAGGGGGATGGAGGAAAATAAGATGAAATGGAGGGCAAGGAAAAGAAAGGAAAGGGAAGAAAATGAAAGGAAATGATTTGTGTTAATTTTGTTTGGATAAATAAAAATGAGGAAGGGAAAGGGAAGATAAGGATTGTATTTTTTATGTTTGGATAATTAAGGTAAAAGGAAGTGAAGGATTTAAATTAATTTTAAATTTACAAATTTATCCTTTAAACTTGTAATAGGATTATGTATTCTTGCCCCCTTGCTATCATTTGTTTAATTCATTCAATCACTCCATTATTCACCACAAAGAAGTATGAGAGAAGCCTAGGCATCTTACATGTCTTTTTTGGGTCATAATATAACTTTGGGTTAAAAAATTGATAAATGCAAATTAAAGGAAAAAAATTATTAATTGAAAAAATATAAAATTAAAATTTAACAAAAAATAGTAAATAAAGCAACCAATAAACAATGATTCTAAAAATAAAAAGTAAATAATTTTATTATAATATAATCTCAATAATATCGATAAACAATAAAATAAAATAATTAATATAAACCAAATCACAAAAAATTATTCAAACATAAATTTATGTCAAGCAAGGGACATATATGTTCCCTATAGAGTGGTATCGGACAGAGTGTTCCGTGCAACGAATTCGGTTGAAATTTTGCTCCTCTATAGATTTATTTCTTCTATATTTATTTGGTTGAAATTTTGTTTTATCTTTTTTAAAAAAACACAGAAGCAAAAATATGGTAAATAACAAAGAGTGTTCAAGCTATATGGTTTATGGCTTCACTTGATTCTTCTGGTTCTGAAGCTGTTGTCGCAAGAAGGAGGAGAATAATTTATGGTAATATATGAAAAATGTAATTTTGTAATTATTTTTAATCTAATCTAAATAACTCCTGAAATCCCTTCCAAACCTCTAAATCGGGAGGATTGCAAATATGCAGAGTTAAGAGTGGTCGAAGAGAGTCCGAATCCATCGATCTCCTTCCCTTCTATCTCTTTGGAAACCCAAACAAGAGAGGAAGGAGACAGCTTCCTCATTCCCCCTCCCTTTCCCCCTCCCTTATCATTCGTCCCCATCCCTTCCCCTCGCTCTCCGTCCAATACCCCCAATCCAAAAAATACTTAAGTCTCTCGAAATAACGGATTTTGATGGACTGGAAGCTTTGCCAAATTGGTTTGGAAACTTATCCTCTCTTCAAACTCTATGGATTTCCAACAGCAAATCTCTGAAACATATGGAAGCCATCCGATACCTCTCCGAATTAAAAGGGCTTTATATTGATGAATGCCTTGAGTTAAAGGAAAGATGCACCAGAGGAAGTGGTTCCGAGTGGGACTGCATCTCTCACATTCTAAACATCGAAATAGACGATAGAGGGATCCAATGGGCAGGAGCTCCCATTTAGGTATTTTCAGCCTTTAACTATATATAATAGTAAATCCTTTTTCTTTAATTCCCTTGTCTTCTTGATTGATTTCAATTATGCATTTACCTTCTTTCAATCTTTTTTCTTTAATTCCCTTGTCTTCTTTTTTATTTTTTCAATTTATTTATAGTAGGTAGCAACTAAAACCAAATTTATTATCTACTACCATTGTTACCTGCAATTCAAAAGCAAATTAAGTTGATAATTTCTTTTCCCTTCACTATATGTAATTTCAAGTTTTAAAATGTTATACTAATAATTTCTCCTTTCGAATGCTCTACTACGATTCTAGATTCCTAGTCAACTGCATCAGGATGATGACAGTGAGCAGCAGGTTGATGATAATGAGCAGCAAGATGATGATAGTGTGCAGCAGGTTGATGATAATGAGCAGAAAGATTGTGAGGTTGGACTTTATTTGCCAAATTAAAACCTAGCTTCGAAAATTAAAGGCTGGCATCATGGCTTCGTAGCCCAACCCAGACCACAGACTTTAATGCTGATTGTGAGGTTGGACTTTATTTGCCAAATTAAAACCTATTATGCAATTGGCATAGAGTAGCATCAAAGTTTACCACTGAACTTATTAGTCTTATTCTACTCGTGTATGACTTCTTTCTTCTACCAACTTAACTATGAGGAAGGTTGTTGCTGATTTTTTCAACATTTGTAAATTTGGTCCTTCCAAGCATTTTTACCTTCTCTTAATGTTTTGTATTTGCTTGTGCAGGGTGAAAATAAGATTCAGATCCAAGCATAAAAGAGGATACAATTTTAAAAAATGAAGTTGCTCAAACAAGTATTGTGAATGCATGCAAGTCTGTGAAATGTCAATTATCTCATTATGTATGATTTATTTATCTGATGTGTAGATAATATATGTTGTGTATAAAGTCTGCATCATTTTGCAGGCCACTAGTTCTTCAAATTAACCTACAAGCAATCAGGCTTTAAAACCATATGTGATGTTGGTGACACCTTGCTGACAAGCCATGGACACCTTTTGATTTTTATAAGATCCATACATGAATTCAGGTAAGCTGTGCTTCCTCGTAAACATTTCTTTCAAAATTTGACTGCATCTCTATGATCTGATGCATTCTTGATTTAAAATTTTGTGAGCCTCATTGCTTTTCGCTTTCACTTTTTCTTCTTTTTTTTTTTTTTGTAATGTTATACTTTGGTTAGAAGTTTTTTTTTAAATTTTTTGATTAATCAAATGATTGGTATTTGACAACTTATAATTTTCATTTGGTACTAACTATTTAGTTCCTTATCGCATGCCTCTAACACATCACTTCCCATTTCTTAATATATATATTTGCAGACTTGTAATTATAATAGGTTTTGAATTCAAACTTGGAAGAATCTGCAACTAAGGGGATTCAGACCATAGAGATAGAAATGGAAAACAAGCCAGTGTAATTAACTTTTGAATTTTTTGTTCATTTAAAGCATTGGTTTTTCTTTAATTTTCTAGATTGATGTTTGTGGTTATGATCTAGATTGTTGGTCGTTTTAATTTGTCCACAGGAATGCAAAACATGGATTGGAGTTCTATTAGGTGTTCTGGTTTCAATAGGGTTTGATTGCTGTAATTGTAGGCCATCCATTGGCCTTGAAACACCTAACAAATGCTCATCGAACGAACAAAAAGCAGTTAGAAAGGCACTGTCATCAAGAGAAATTAAGAATGATTTTGGTATGTTCCCTGAGTCTCAAGCATTTAAGCATGGGCTTTCTGATTTTTTAATCTTTTGTTAATTAGTACAATGAGCATAGTCTTATGGTAAAACTAATTAAGATTCTTCCTTTAAAAGTTATTGGACCATAAGGTTTTAATCTCTTGGAGGTGCTCAATTTCAGTCAGCTGGGAGAGTGATAGGATGTCGATCAGTCTATTATACCTTGAGTAGGTAAATCACTTCTGAGTTCAATTTGTTTCAAAGAATGGCAGCTGATGCAAAGTTGCTCATGGACTTCCAATTTGTAGGTTTCTTTCTGTTGAGTTGTCATCGACTAAGGTGTACCCAGACTCTAGGGACATCTCAACCCATAATGACTCTATCTCCTTGAAAGTATGTTTTAAGTAGAATTATGATTAAGCTTGAAATTCTGGATAAAATGTGAAAATTATATTTATCCATGAAACTATCTGTACAAGAAGTTCAGCAGCAACTTGTTGCTACTACAAAACAAAAAACTTGGCTC